ATTTCTCCTGTCTCACCTGCTGCTGCCCTCAGTAGAACATTTCAGTTGATCTACCTGTTTTGCTCCCCACTCTGTCTCTGGTGAATCAACTCACCCATCCTTATCTCAGACCTACACTCCAGTTCTTTTACACAAAACTAAATAAAATATTAAAAAATTATTTTTGGATAATCCATCATCTTTCTTTATGAAAATCTGTTATTTATATATTCATTTAGTAATTTTTATATGTCCTTTCACTCCTATTTCCTATCTATTTTATTCTATGTTTTCTGGAGAGTTTCTTCAATTTTTGTCTTCCTAAGTTTTATCAAGTTGGTACTTTTGTTTTCTTACATGTTAATTTTGAAAGCTCTTTTATCTGCCTCTGGACACTCAGTTTTAATTGCTTGCTCTTGTTCCAGAAACACAATATCTTCTCTTTTTGTAGAGCTTTTGTTTTTTTCTTTTTGAAGTTTTACTCTTCCTGTACAATCCTATTTGTATTTTATCCTATTTCCTGCAGCTTCTTTTTCTTTTCATTTTTATGTCAAATATTTTCTACTATTTGGTGGTATTTCTTTATTTATATTGACAGTATTGTGTCAAACTATGGATGGGCAGCTTTATAAACACAATAAGGTACTGTTGCTATAGGGTGATCTGGCTAGCCAGTTCCTTGGGGGGAATCCATGATAGCATCTTTAACTCTTTCCTTTTAGATTACTGATATTCCCAATTAAGCCCTCTGATAGTCCTGCCACATGTTTGAAAACTAAGGAAGAGAACACTGGGAATTTCTATAGCATTCTTTCCCTGTTTTCAGTTACTCCCCAATTTGCTTGTTGTTTACCATTCCTGAAATATAGCTTTTCCTTTTCTATAGAAAACATCTCCAGGTTCGGAGTGCGTTAGGAACAGTTGGGAAAAGTGATACTGGAAGCTGATTCCTCTGCAGACTGTCAGCCATTTATAACCTCTGTTCCAGAGGATGCCCTTGACCCTCCCTGGCCTTTGAAAATTCTGGGTTAAAGCTGGATTCAGATTTCTAGGATGTGCTAAGTCAGGGACACTCTTCCATCTGCTGTCTACTTTCTAAAATATTCCTATTCTCTTTGTGCCTTGGGGTTTTTTCACTTTGAGGTCTTATCATTTTAATGCAGTTTCAGGAGGAAGCAGAGCTCAATTCATATGTTTAACCTATTATGTATATGAGAAACACCATCAAATTAATTTAAAGTGGAAACAAAAAGAGTAAGGTATTCAGAATAGAAGTAGTAGTCATGTTACAGGCAGGAGCAGTAAGGTCACACCTGGAGAAGTCTTCTATTTTGACTACCACAATCTGTGATTGATAAACTAATCTTCAAACTAATCATGATAGAAAAGACATGATAATGAGGAACAAATAAAGGAACCATTGATATTTATCTGGAAAGCAGAAGGTTTCAAGTAGTCTATCATCAAAATTTGAATGCAACAAAATTGAACATTCATGCACCAGATATATTGATTCCTTGTTGAAAGGATTTGGCAGGGTGAGAGATAATGTTATTCTTTAAAATTTTTTTGACACTTACTTTATTCAAAAGGTATTAGATGTTAAAAATGGTTTGACAGGACACAAGCAGGATACATGAACCAAATGGAAACAAATTACATTATGACTACATGTTTAGAGAACTTACCCTAGGATTCATATATAAATACCAACAGGGAAAGGGAAATAACCTTAATGTGTGAACTAGATGGATAAATACATTAGCAAACTAAGATGCACATGTTATATATGAAACAGCAGCAGTACTGAAAGTATTTCTTAAAAAAAAAGTAATATTTTTTGATTTTCCAATGAGGGGACATTAATTTAATTTAAAAATATTCTATATTTTTCACAACACATATGGATGGAATGAATTTATCCAATGAGAATTTGGTGGTTTGTAACATTTCTAATGCTTGGTCACAAGTGGTTATTATCATTGGGATTTTCTAAGAAAGATGGTAATATTTTAGGCACAACATTAAAATGAAGTTGAATTAAATAATATCTGTCTTTTTACACAGAGACCCTATGACTGAAATTTGATTTTTTTTTAAACTGAAGTTGCTCATGAAATTGGCAACTTATTGGTGGCTCTTTTAAAAGAATCACTGAGAAAGGTATAGAAAATACAAAATGATGGAATTCAATTATATTTCATCAAAACTACACTGATAGCTGAGGAAGTAACTTCAAACAAACAAAAAAAGTGGTACCACAGAAATTTGAACGCTGGACAAGATCCATGCATGTGGCCTTCCCCACCCTTAGTTTATGGTCCTGCATCGCCTCCAGGCCACTACTTTATGCCCGAAACATTTATTATCAATGGCCGAGTAAAATGGGAGTGAGAGGTGTATACAATTATATCAAAAGAATAATATATGTTAGCTAACAAATAATTAACTCTAAGCAATCAAACATTAAAGTGAGTGCATCTTTACATTTAACAAGGAGGTACTGAGTAAGTATTTTTAAAGACTTATTTATTTATGCATACAGAACTGGGGCAGGAGCAGTGAGAGGATTCACCAGAGACAGAGTGGGGAGTAGAGCAGGAGATCTATGAAGTACACTGCTGAGGGGAGCAGTGGGTGAGACAAGAGAAGTTTGCTGTGTCATGTGGGTCACCTCCGACAGGGACTGAACTCAGGCTGAAGTGGTTTTAGCTTTTCAGTGCTGTGCTTTAACCCACTGCGCCACCAGGGAGGGACCCGGTATTGAATATTCTTAAAGAATTTTAATCTTTCTCTCTCTCCTTTCCACAATGTAATAGAGACCTATCCAGACAGCCCTGATTTCTTTTCATAATGAAAACAGAAAATGATTGTCTTCTCACAAGTATGAATACTGATAAGGAAACATCACTTAATTATTATCATTAATTAATTATTAATAAATCAAATAATTCCACTTTCTTCCTAACATGCAAAAGTATAAAGATATAAATATCAAAGAAATTAGCTATTCATTAAAAAATAAGTATTTCATGACTGGAAAAGTTTAAACATGTACAAATATAATGTGACAGTTTTTCATGAAAGAAATTACAAGCTCTGAATTTATAGGTGATCGTCCGAGAAGATATATGGAAGGTATTATTCATTGCAGGAAACTGGAAGGTACAATATGATGGAATAAAGATCACATTTTTCTCTTTGAGGTGATTTATATTTAAATGAGTTTCCCTAATCCTCTAAACTGAAGTGCAAATTGGTTATCAAAGTCCTTTGCTGTAAGGGTTGTTTTACATAATAACCAATATCACAGAAGTTCCTCAAAGGGAAATATTGATTTAGGCAACATCACAGGCTATTTCAATTCCAGCACAACTTTGGATTAGTGCCATAGACAGCATATAGAAAACTTTCTAAAAATCTAAATTTCTGTATTAAGAGGTATGGCAGCATATCTTTTCTTAGTAGAAAATATATTTACAACAACTGTTTAATAAACATGAGTCTATTTTATCTATCATTTCAAATCCACAGTAACTTAACAAAAGCTAGTTCTAAGCATCTAGCTTGTGTTTTCAAGAAAATGGGCTGCACAAAGGAAATGTTCATTTGTGTCTATATATGCCGGAATTATCACCAATGCCAACTAGCTCTATTATTGAGACTTTACTGTGTCAGATGTAACTTAGATATATGCTACTGTGTTCACCTCTTAAAATGATAGGTAGCCACTACTATTACCATTATAAACAAGAAAACTAAAGCTAAGTGGCTTTTGTAAGGATTTGAGTCAGCATTTATTTTTCTCATTTAATATGCTATGCTACCATTTCACAGCCAGCTTCTTTTCAGTCTTGAGCACTACATGGGTCATGACCAGAAGGTAAGTTCTAGTTTTTGCCCTAGGTATACGCTCAACAGACAGGCCAATTCCACTTTGCTGTAGCTCTGGTCCTATTAATACATTCACAAGGGTTTGGTTCTTATCTATTTGGAGTGACCCAATTAACCTCACTTTGCAGAGATTTTTGGAATGGTTGCACTATACATTATAAAGGACTCTGTATTTGATATAGTTATGTTGTTATAAAAAAAATAATCAGAGAAGATTGGATTTGAGCAATGGATTTAATAATTATATTAAATATTAAAAAAAATAAGTGAAACTGTTAGCAACTTAGGTCTTAAGTTGAATCCTGATATAAAACAGATAAAGGTATAGGTATACTGTTTAAGCAAAGGTTGGGTATTGTGGCAGCATGGATTCATCTACTTTGAAGAACCAGTGAATCTTCATTGCATAAACAAGCAGCCTCTGAAGCATCTGAGAACACAACTCTCACTACTGTGCACTAGATAATCAACTGTGTCAACAGTGCACTAGATAATCTGTTTATTTAAGTTCTCATAATTTTTTAATTAAAAAATATCTGTATCTACATGAAGAGGACATTAGAATTGTACTAGAACAGAGCTAGCATCAGGACTGATAATTCAAAGGAGAGAGAAGTTTAGGTACCAATGAAGCAGGTGTCAAATGACTTGGCTATAGAGAGTAGGGGAGACAGTTCAGTCCTGAAGTTGGGACTGAAGTTTTACAGATTTCAGTAATGAGGGAATTGACTCTTTGTCATCATAATATTTGATTTGCATTTTGCCATATTATGAGATGCATTATTTTAGTCTGACAGTGTTAATCCAGTAATGGATTTCAATTTCTTAATTTTGATATTGATATATAAAATTTTAATTATGATCCAAAACTATCACTTATTATTACCATGAAATTTTATTTTCTTTTTAAAAATATATACATCTTAGACAAGTTGCTTTACCTTCTCCAATAAAGTAAGAACTCAAGATTCCACATTGCAACTCTTGGCTTAAAGACTTTTTGAGTTTCTATATTAAACTCTATTAAACTCAGCCAGCATCCCCTGGTCCTGGGCTCTCTCTGTGATTGACAATGTTTAACTGGTTTAATTCCAGCATGTCTGTGGCCACAGATCCTTTTCACTTACCTGCCTCTGCCTTCTGCTGCTTCTCAATCTTCTCCAGACGTCCTAGTAAGGAGTCAATTTTAGTTTTGATTTGGGTTAATTCTTTCTTGATTGTCTGTAGCTCATCTGATTTCACTGAAAAAGAGAAAGGAAAAGAAAACAACAGTACACCAAAACTCCAGTTCACTAGAATTTAACTCAAAGACACTCTGTTTCCTCAAGATTGTGTCAAATCAATAGAATACTTTTCTATTTTAATCAGCTCCTTTACTTCTCAGGATCCTGGAATCCTGGGTGCTTTTGCTAACCACAGTAATTCAGTGCTGTAAATGGTAAATCCTAAATATTTTTTACTGATGGTTATGACATAATATAGAGGAAACTAGAAAAAGACTGTAAAATAGCTCCACTGAATTAAGTTTTAATAGATAAATCTGAACTATATAAGGGATTTAGATTGAGGATTAATTAAATAATCGAGCAATATGTTGTAATATACATTGCAGCAGTCAATGGCACTTTTAATCCAGCTCTTTGGTGACTGAATGAAACTAGGAAATAATATTTATTCTCTACAGAAATCACTTAGCTCCCAGGGAATTCTCTCCAATTTATTGAACTCTTGCTATTTCACTTACCTTTTTTTTGTTGTTGTTAATTTAATTTTAAAAAATGTCTTGCTTTTAAAAACTTCCTTGTTCATTTTTTTCACAAAATAGGATTTCTCCCCTCAGGAGCAATCATCATGTTTTTACCTTATGATGTTGCAATTCCACTCCTAGGTATCTATCCAAAGAACACAAAAACCCTAATTTGAAAGGAAGCCTGCTCCCCTATGTTTATAGCAGCACTATTTACAACAGTCAAGATAGGGGAACAACCAATTTCAAAAAAAAAAAAAAAAAAAAAAGGAGGTAGTGGTTGCACCCTCTTTAAGCCCCAGGGTTAAAGGGAAGGGAAATTCACCAAAACTACCGCTGATAATTTTCTGTAATAGTGGTTCTCATTTCAGGCTTTTAATGTTTAATATGGTCTCAAATCATATGATTACAGAGACTAACACAGGATTGACAGCTTTTCTTTTTGTCAAGTATAGATGATAAGAACAATGAGAAGTTCTGGCTATCAGTCATAATAATTATTGTATTTAAAAAAGGCTTAAGGGAAGGGCAATCTCACAGAGGACAACCTTTTAAATGAAGGAAGCTTATGTTTAGAGAAAAAAAATCAATGTGCTGTTTTATTTTCTAATATTTCTGAGAACCACTGGAAACGTTGTCAGGAACCACTAATAACCAGAGGACGAAAATAAAGCTATCATTATAGAACAACTACATCTGCTTAGAAGCTTTCATGAGGTGGGGCTTGGGGTATTCATGCATCAGCAGACAACTGGGCTTCAGGTTCTGGCGCACAGAACTTGATTCAGCCTATTATTCTTTTCTGTCACTTTTCTTTTCAAGTTTATAATGATCTCAGCTTGAACATTCCCCAGAAATTTCTGAAGAAATTGAGTGTTTAGCTTGATTCTTTACTTCAGGACATTGTTTTATAAATAATAAAAACTAAAGGCAATCTATGTTTTCTTGCAATAGAGTTACTTGTCAGCTAAGAAATACGATACAACATCTTGATAAATTATGCATCAATATATATTAGTTGCTCAAAGGAGAACAGATTTTTTCCACTATTAAGATGACAAAATTGTTTCCATTATAAAATCAGAATATTTTTAATAAAAAGCAGATTTTTATTTATGATGCTATATTTGCAAAATAAAAACTGCAAGACTAAGGGACCCTGTGGAGTGTTCCTATTATGAACAACCAAACTGAAAGTAAAATACAGTTTAAAATAGAGAATCTGCTCCTTATGTCAATTATTTCAGACATCAAAGTGCCATTGTTCAACTGCAGCTAAATTTGAAAAACATCATCTGTCACAATTGCAAATTGATTCTGCTTTGAAGAATGATTTTCATTTCCTGTGATGGAAGTATGTCATGTAGTTTTACTTAAACCTATCAAATTTAATAGACAATATTTTATCTTACATCATTAGATTTCAATGAAGGGGAAATAGGACTGTGCCTGAAAACTAATAGAATGGATTTCTTAGTAAGTGGAGCCATTTTTTAACTTGGGAATAAATATTTATTTATCTTCTTAAAAAACATTAAAAAACTACCCATACCCCATTTTATTGAAACTCCATAAAAAACTAATGAGAAATCTAATCTTACCAAGCAGAATGTCAGAATTGCCCAGGGAGTCTAAGGTTTCCTTTTATCTAAACTCAAGGCTAGCATTGTAGAAATAACATTTAAGATGAGAACTAGGTCATTATGAAACTTGGGTCTAATTTGTTAATGCTATTCAAGCTTAGAGATAAGAAGGATGTAATCACATATATATATCCTGTCTACTCAGTCCTGGTCTCTTACCAAAATGTTGAAATCACTTCCAGCCTTGTGTAAATTTTCCAGTTTCTTTCTTGGAATAGTGAGCAGAAAATGTTCATCAAGATCCTCTAAAGTAGGGCCTAAAAATAGTCTTGGGCTGTTCCTTGACCAACTGTGGAAGTTGTTTCCTTATCACACTTCAGAGCTTTCTTTGGAAAGAGGTTTCTCCCTTACTCGGTAGTGTCTACTGTTTCTTCCTATCTTCTGATAGATTAACCTTCTACAGTTGGGGTATTGGTCGGCTGTGCTCAGTTACTCACTGGAACTCCTGGGATGAACCACCTCTGTTTAATGTGCTTCCCTCTCTGACTCTACTCTGTCTTTTCCCTACTTTTGGGGGGATTCCTGTTAATAATTTCTTCATGGTACTGTGGTTTACATTAAGCCCAGTCTGTTTTTACCTATTTCTTCAAAGTGGAAGAACTATTTTACAACTGTAGATCTTCACACTTAGAATTTTGAAAATCTTTGCAATGTTGAATTCTGATATTTTTCCAGAAGAAGTTAAGAAGTAAGGAGATGTAGGTCCAAGGCAACCCTGCCCATTTTCTTTTTTAACATATTTTTGTATCCATTTTCATCGCATTCTTAAATGAGCTTCTATCTTTGGTTTGTACAAATGATTGCAAAGTACCTCAAAATAATATTTACAAGTTGTAAGTCTTTTCTACAGAAAACTTCCAGAATTTCCCACTTGTATAGGAAAAAGGCTACGATAGTTATAAACGTGCACAATCAAAACTCTTTAAACTTATGTTAGGGCTGCTCCAAAGCATAGTACTAGCTGTATATTCCATTTCTTAAAATGTGCTCTCCATTTGAACAGAACAGCTTAATATATAGTCAAAGTTCATGGCCGCAGGTAGACTCTGGTCTCTCCTAGTTCATCTCTATGGCCCTTGGGGAGTCATGTGTAATCTACACATCTGTCGTCTTTATAATTTCCATCTTCTACCTTAGAGACTTATAAAAATTTAATGAGATAATACACATAAAGCACTTAGCACTGTACCCAGAACATTGTCAGACTGACTGAATATATGGCAGACCCACTCCCCTTAAATCTCTATGTACCCTACTTGCTTTATAGAGTTTAGTTTAAGTCTTGCCTTACCTAGGAGTTCTTTGGCCAGCCCACTCCAGGTGCATCTATTATCTACAGCCTATTTAACAGCTTTTCACTATTGCTAGATGTATACTCCCTGTTGATTTTTACTTTGTATATCTACTTTTTATGTTAAAGTGCAATCTCCTTGAAAGTGACTACCTGATTAGGCACCAAAAAGTTTAGGAGTAATGCTTCTGAATGTTTTCTTCTGTTTTGATAAGTTCCTTTTTTTTTTTAATGACTAAGAAGACTCTGATGTTTATCATAAGACTCTGGGCTTTGAAGTCTGTCCTCCTTAATTAAAAAATGATATTAACAGCTTTAAGAAGAGATCCTAAATCAGATTAGTACCTAAAGAAAACATTCTGCTTTCTCATCATAAATCAGAGCCATGGAAAATTATTCAGATTCTTGATTAATAAATTATTTAGATCTCTAGTGATACAACATTGAAAGAGGAAATTTGGTATGGCTGTCTGAGCCAAGATATATTAATGGATTTACCTATCATGGACTCTCTAGAACCAACTGTTTTAAGGGGGTATCTATTTTTACACCCCTCCCTTTTCCCCTTCCTTCTGCATTCCTATTAGAACTTAACTCAGTATCTTACAGTAAGAAATTAACAAATACAAAGCAATTTTGAGTTAAATGTATGTGTACATCTGACACCAATTTGAACCAGACCAACACATTTTATTGAAAGTTTTGTGTATGTGCCAAGCACTACATTGGAGGCGACTATCTAGTAGGGAAGCAGACAAAAAAAAAAAAAAAATCAAGTGAATGTAAAAACAAAGTTAGCATGGAAATATATGTGTACATCTGACACCAATTTGAACCAGACCAACACATTTTATTGAAAGTTTTGTGTATGTGCCAAGCACTACATTGGAGGCGACTATCTAGTAGGGAAGCAGACAAAAAAAAAAAAAAAATCAAGTGAATGTAAAAACAAAGTTAGCATGGAAATATGCCTTTTTTTTAAGCAGGAGCACTGTGATAAAAGAATAAGAACACAAGTCTTGGGCAATTAGTCTTTTGCAATTTCCCCCTAATTTTATCTCAAGTCTTGAATTCCATAGTTCTTTACTTTAAAGATACATTGTGGATAATGCAATGCCTCTATTTCTTTGTTGAGCATTTGGAAGAGTCAGGAGTATTTCTTTGACTAAGATTAACTTTCTGTTAAATTATTGGTACATCTATCTATCTATCTATCTATCTATCTATCTATCTATCTATCTATCTATCTATCTATCTTTTTTTCCTGATTCCTTACACTCCTGCTATAAGTGAAATCATCTGGTATTTTTCTTTTTCTTTCTGGTTTATTTAACTAAGCATGATCTTTTCCAGTTCCACCCATGTTGCCACAAATGGCATGATTTTATCTTTTTGATTGCTGAGTAATATTCTTTTGTGTATATAACCTAAATCTTTTTGATCCAGTCATCAATTTTTGGTCGTCACCTGGGCTTATTACACATCTTCCGTATTGTGAATAGAGCAGCAATAAACATCAGGGTGTAGTTGTCCTTTTGAATTATTGTTTTTGTGAAAGAT